ACGAAACTAATGCAATAAAGCGGAAAAATGGAGCCAACAAATATAGCAGTCTAACAAAGCCAGGCCATTGCTATGAGAGTTGGACTGTGTGATCATCTTCGCTTCAGGGCTGGGTATCGAATTAGTACAAATCTAGTCGTATTCAGCGCTTTCTCACATCAAAGTACACAATGGCCATCCATATATTTAGTGCCCAGCAATTATTTGCACCCAACAGCAACGATAGTCTCTACTTTCTCCATATGTTCATGGCTGGTCACGACGCCAAATCAAAACAGAAGCTTGTTCGTGACAGAAACGCATTTTGCTATCTAAGCTCGAAGTAGAGCATGTAATAACTTATCTGTGGCAACGCTTCCTATATTGCAGAGAGAAGCTTAACAAATGTTCTATTACAGACATTGTTGCTAAGCCTTGTTTGGGTCTGATCACGCAAGCTCCCGAGAAGCAGAGTCACTGGCCTGGTATGTCAGAAGGGAATACTCACTTGCTCACTCTACAAGGCTATGCAAACGTGACTTCTGTTGACATTTTTTTCACTCATGGAGAAGCAATGTGCCCGATACTAGGCTACACAACTGATGGCTATAAAGTTAACAGACAAGGAACATCAACATCTAACCCATACGCCATCTTGAAGCCGACCCTCTTTCCATGCTTCTTCTCGAGTTTGACTGTCGTCTCCGGTTTGCTCAGACTGACAGCACTTTACTGTTTGCCTTATTTTAGCGGCTTAGTCGTAACTGGCCAAATGGCTGGTTCGCAACCAACTTCTTACACCTCTCATTGTCACGTGTTCCGCCCGCTCGGAAACCAAGATTCCTTAGTCTTCGCCAAATGTCTTATGTCCGGGGCAGCCTGATCCCCAGATTAAGTTAAGCACCGATCTGAAGGATGTCACTACACGGCAAAGCGCTAAGGTCTTTCCAAACACTTCCATTATTCCTTACCTCTCCACTGCATTTCCCAATGGTCTCTGGTATATTGGATGTGTACAGTGTCCTAAAAAGGGCAAACAGACACAGATTTAAGGCTTAATTGCATTAAATCTGCCAATTTCTCATCCCGATGTTTCATACCTGATGGATTTAGTCTCCGCTCTGGCATGGATACCTTAACACCAGTCTCAATCACATAATATTTGGTGAATTGACTAAAGAGTATGCGGCATGAATGGTATTTCTCCCAGTGGGTCAACTTTGTTGCTAGGCCGGAGGATTATTAAATTAATAGAGGTCTATATCCTTAACCATGTGGTTATGTAAAAGTGTCATACATCTACAACATACGTCCAATAAATGACTACTACTAGTTGACTTATCCGAGTTTTCTAAAATGGTAAATGTATCGTGTATATAGTTAAGAAATAAATTAAATAGTATTTCGAGAGATCAGTAGACCTCAGTCGCCAAAGTTAATATATGACTGATGAAAATTTTTCCAATGATCAGGACAGAAGACCTCATGAAATAAGGTATTTAAAAGGCATCTACACCCAGGGAGTAGTGGATTAGATTTTAGACCCCAACTCTGTCTCCTCAGCGCCACTAGCGGAAATCGAACCAGCGTAGTTCAGCCGATAATTTCAACACGTTAACCCCCCATCCACCAAATTGTCATGAGTGCCCCTATGTTAGAGAGCAACAGTGAATTTCCGGGAAGCATAGACCTACCCCATATCGCATCCCTGCGATGAGATTGTCGATGGAGGAAAGTTTTATTATTCGTTCGTAAGCAGGGTTTCGAAAATACCAGTAAATCGGTTATCTAATATGTATTCACTCTATTTCACAAAAGGTCATGAAGGACAAGTAGTTGAATTTTCCCACAATGATATGAGCATAACTGACGTTTTCATCGAATTTCATATAGCCTTGCTTTCCCAAAAGGTTTCCTCATCCAGAGTGGACTTCAGTTTCGACCTCGCATAGGTCTTATCTACCGCACCAGCGGGAGTGGAACCGTTAGAGTGCAAAATGTAAGCTTGGAACGTTAACACCTCGACCACATTGCCACGAGTGCCCTTGGGTCACAATACAGACGTGGATTTTCAAAAAGGCACTTTCTATATCACGTTTTGTGGTGGAATTGCCGATATAGAAAAGTAGAATTTACTATGACAATCGACTACATTATATAGTCTTTATTTAAACATAGGTTTTCGAGACTACCAGTAGATCATATCTAAAAGCTGTATTCACCTTATTTCGTTTAAAGTGATAATAAAGGTGCTTTTAAAATGAAAAAATAAGGGATTTATTAGATCGCTATAGCAAATAAAGCTTCGCTTCATCGGCAATTCAACCACAAAATGCGATATGGAAAAAATGCCTATCCCTTCTTAAAATTAATATATTCTCTGTGACACAAGGGAATTCAGAACAATGTGCCGAGTTTATACACTGCAGAGTCATGGTTCAAGTCCCGCAAGGGTGCTGATGAGTCCTAGGAGATATAGAAACTGCAGTCCACTCTGTATTCGAATACCTTTTGGGGCAGCAAGGCTATGTGTTACTAAATGGAAAAGTAAGTTACACTCAAATTATTGTGGAAATATTCAACTTCCAGTTTCCTTATCAACATAAGCGTTATAGGGACAATACATCCTATATATAACTACTAGTTATGCCTTCTTGGTAGAATTAAAGCAATAAATGTAATAAAGTCAGCCAAAAAATGAGGATAATAAATTATCTGAACAATGATGTTTTCAATCATATTTACGATAGTGGAAAATTTATTTTTTATTCATCAACTCAACCCGGGGTTTTTAAATAGTAGTCATGCTTTTCCTTGGGTCAGTGAACCTTGATGACTCCAGAAGGACAATAAGCTCTCAATTACTTTCTAGTTGTGAGCAATATATATTTCAGTTTTTTAAGAGTCTCATACATCCTAGGTCATATAAAGTTAAATTATTTCCGCAATGATTGTTAGGCCTCATTTTTCCACAAGGAAAACTTACTTTAGCATTGAGGGAACAATTCAATTATCCGTCCTATATCAACTCTTCAATAGTTACCAATAACTGCTAAACTAATATAGTTGACAACTTTTCTTTGTATGAATATTTAGATGAGATCAAAAGTTTATGAATTTAATGATATGGCAAACACATAGTGAAGGAGAATGTTTAGTAGACGGCGGAAAACTCAAGGGTATAGAAAAATAGAATGATTGAAGCAAACCACCGGAGATCGCCCGTCGTCTCCTGCTGAAATTGCTATAAGTTTATCTTCGTTAAATATGGAAGTCAACTAGAATAACTTGATCTCAGTAGATTAATCTAAACGTAGTTTTTACTTATATATAAGTTGGCCCTAAAGGAGCTAATATCCATAGAAGATAAGCAAAAAAATAGAGCTTGGATGGAGAGCTTTACAAAGTTCTAAAGCTTAACCAAATGTTGGCCTATAGTAGGAAGGATTTTGGTAGAAAATGCTCTTTGCAAGGAAGGATAGCTCGAACAATCGGAGCTGGTGATATACATCATAAAAATGATCCTAATCCCAGAATTTTGTTGGCCTTGGTGATACTAATAACCTCATCACATGCTGCAATTAGAGGAGTGTCCCATAAAGATCATGAACCTTTCTGATCTTGCTTGACTAAAAGGGAAATAGGGTTATTATAATTTTATGCAAACTTATGTGCTCAACACCTGTAAGAATAGTTTAGACGCAACCATATCTGCATAGTCTTTTAATGTGGGTTTTCAAACCAATAGGAATTCCTTCCTAATGAATTTAAAGTTCGATATTTCCCTTTAATTTTTATGTAAACATTATTGGATACTTCATATTTACGCGTAAATATGTCCTATTACTAGGCTACAAGCATTATTTCATTTACAGGGTTCGGTAAATTTGCTCGTCTGGCACGTTCGGTTGCCAGAAACCGAAGCGTCATCCCTCCTGCAAATGATTTTGTCGACAGAAATGACACATTAACCCCGGTAAGTCTATTATTTTTATTCAACAGCATTTACAATCAATTTGGTAACAGTGAAGCTATGCCATTTATCACTCCGATTTGACTTTTCATGAGGTAGCTTTCACTTGTCTTGGACACCAAATATGTTAAATAGGCCACATCTTCCCGGTTCCTCTGGTAAGACTCGAACTCATACGACAGCCCACCCCTCTTCCAAATAATCGGAGGCGTTGATTTTGCCAAATGTTAGGTCGAAACTACCTTCACGTCTAAAGAAGAATATAGTTTTTTGGATAGAGGATTAGCTAGAACTCTGCACCAACTCTGCACGCAATTCCCGTGTATAAGAGGCTCTAAAGCAAAAAGCAGATAAACTGTGTCCTCTATTTCAAGGGTTATAGAAACACATTTATGCATAATCTAAAGGGTTTCTGAAACCACTAGACCTGAGAACCTCAGACGGTTTGTTTCAACAAGGTAAACTTGAAGGTATGAAGACCAAGATGGTGTCCTTTTGTGTGGTCGCAGTCTCCTTTCGTTGTATAGAAGTTGTTTGACCTTGTTTTCGCAACTTGATCATATTGGTAGGAAGACTTAGAGGAACACACCTTGTCCTGAGTCCATTGTATGCATCATTATTTCCAAAATAGGACCGTGGACGTGGTACCATTCCCAGACGTTTCGCCGGCATCGTCAGTGAGTCTCGCCATTCGTAGCACCATATTACAACTCATCAAAGAGAAAAGTTAAGCCCATCCTTTGACCAAACGTGTGCTAAACAGTTGTTCTATCTCTCCTTCTGCCCTGGGCTATTCACATTTCCTATATCCTCTTATCATGCCTTCCCTGTTACATTTTTACCGTTCTTATTTTTAATTTAATGTGATATGTACCAGGGAGATAGCAGACGGATTCTACGGGGCAAGAGGGAGACTCTAATAGGACCCAAGGAAGGACTACGTAGCAATATGACAGATTCTGATCAACATTCCCAGCACAAGGGTGAAGGGGGTGATAATGACAGTGTGGATTGTGAAGGGTTTTCATGAATGCCGCTCACAGGAGCACATCACACTACATTAAAAAGACACGGTAAAAATTTTGAATGGGAGGGCACGATAGGAGGATATAGAAAATGTGAACGGCCCAGGGCAGAAGAGGAGATACCACAACTGTTTAGCATACGTTTGGTCAAAGGATGGTCTTCACTCGTCTCTTTTGACGAGTTTTTGACTTGTGCTACGAATGACACAACTC